GAACCATCAGCTTTTTTTGAAACTGAAGAATAAGTATAAAAAGAATCAGTTTTTCTATCTATTTATTTACTGGATTTTCAATCCTGTTTAATTTATAGACGTGTCGCTATCATACTGTTTATATGTATCTCGATTCGAAATCTGAACACGAGAGAGGAAAGATGAATATCGCGACATCTATACTCAGTAAACAGTTAATTTGAACGTTGTTCGTCGTTGCTTGAGCTAGATTCGTTTGAAAGATAATTATTGAAACGCATTTGCATACGTTCGACGTTCGAATTCGTACTGGACAAATAGTACTAACATGTTGGAAGCGATAAAATATGAAATCCGCGATAATAGAATTTTCATAAATCAATCGTAGCACAAATAAACAGATTTTGCTACAGATTTTTATCAAAATCATTGACAATGCACATTTCATTAACCATGCGGAATGAAAATACGCATGTTGCAAGAAGGGCAAGGCTCAAGGTCCATTGGTCGTGCGGATTAGTCGTTAATTGACAGTCGTATTAACATTAGTTATATTTCATTCAAGATAAAATCACGTAGCAAATTGGAAATAGAAATATGTTGATTTCACATGTGTTATTTACACTAATTGCATAATTCAGAAAAGGAACCTGCTGCAAACGTATTTTACATATCTGTTAAACGAAAAATCATTATCAGTAGTCAATGTGCTCTACATAATCTACATGGCGAAGGATTACTGTGTGTCGAAATAATCTGAAGCGAGTAATTTTATTAGCTGTATTATTGTATTGAGTTGAAATATTTAAACGCGCACGCGGGTATACACAGATGATGAATACAAGCTGGTAAGTTTGCCGAAGTGCAACAACATACCGCAAGAATTCAGGAAAAATCGAGATCGCTTTTTAGAATTCACTGGTCGGCTACATGACAAGAAGTTAAAACGTAGGGACGCGTTCGCATTCAACGAGATTAAGATGCAGTGGTGGTACTGATACCAATGTTTCTTAGAAAACATCCAGCACATTCAGCTGCTACAGAATCGTACGTGACTAAGATCAAGTTTCATCCGTTCTTATCAACGAAATTTTGCGAAAGGAAATACAATGCTTTATTGCGATTTTCTAATTTTTTTTTTCTTTTTTTTTTTTT